CATCCATCTGTCCATCTCCCCATTTGTGTATGGATTTACTGAATGAACAAACATTTGCAAAACACCTACTGTTTGCCAGTCACATTCTTGGTGTGGAGAATTCAAGGTACACCCAGCTCTCCAGAGAAAAAAAGACCTGATTTGTAATGTTTGTCAATTTCTTTGGTGGAAATATTCCCATCATGGCTGATTTCAAGCTACCAACTAAATGTCAACAGGCCTCTAAATTCCTGATGTAACAATGGGCTCTCATGGGTGGCCTGAGCCGGTCTGAACAGGAGCACCACTTTGACCTGACTGTGGAAAGAGGGTGGCTTCCACAGAGTCACAGGGGAATGCCAGGAAGAGCCATAAGTCATGCGCACTTGCCTGTTCCCAGTGCATTCCTTTTGAATGCCTGGGCCCTTTCTAGTGTGTGCAGTAACGAATTTCATGAATTAGTATAATCAAACATTTTCAGACAAATTTCTTTTGCTTGTTTCCTCTACTCAGTGCATTGTTTTTTACCATTTCATTTTAACCTATATTCTAATTTCTGCTTGATTGTATAGTAAAAATCCCTCCAACTTTATGTCATCTGAAAATAAGAATTTCCAATTTCCAGGAATTGGTTATCCAATTTTAAAAAGTGGACATTCCTTATAAGCCAATAAATAGTAACTATATTAGTTTCCATAAAATTTAGAACAAAATATTATCAAAATAAAAGACTTTATGGTCAACTAATCACCTAAATAAAAGATGAGCAATCATTGTATGCACGGTGGCAGCAGATCTGGGACCACAGTGCAAATAAAAAGCTATTTCTCTTGTGAAGGTCCTGGTGTGCACGGAAAGGCCTGCAGAAATGCGCAGCGTGGGATGCCTCTGCTGTAAGGCTGAGCATCCTGGGTCTTCAGAGCTGGCTGGTTCCAGAGACATTCCCACCATCACCCACCAGCAACCTTCTTCACTGTCCCCTTAAATCAGTAGAATAAATCCGGGGAAGATGAAGCTGCCATTGTACTGCCAGATGGCTGAGGCCAAAATATTGCCGTAAATGACACATGACCACCAAGAGGCAGCCTGGAGTGATTTCCTAAGCTGCCATCACTCTGGGCAAATGTAGAGCAACCTGGCAGGTTGGATGGCCTGAGTGGGTGACATGGGACTCTGAAAGTGCGGCGTCTCCTCTGAGGACCTCCAGTTTGGAGAGGGGTCAGCCAGGTGAGGCTCAGGGAGCACATGTGGAGGCAGAGAGGGTCCTGAGTCCTGGGGAGAGTCCACAAGAACACCACAAGCTCAGCCCTCTCACACTCGTCGGGGTAGAACAGAAAATTGGGGAGGCCAGGTGAGGAGAGCTTCAGGAAGGACGGTACTGGGGTGCTGATATCTGGAAAGGGGCCTGGGTATGCAAAGGAGGACATTTTTGTATTTTGTTCTCTGCTCTTCTGAAATGACTGGATGTGTATTACATATGAGCAATGTTTTTACTAAAAAAAAAATAAAAGACCCGCCAACAGGAGAGGGTTAATGGAAAGTACTGCCCACCCTGCGGGCGGATGAGGCCTCTCCCCACTGAGCCCCACCTGTGGTCTGATCTCAAGAGCCTGCTGCTCAGCCCAGGACCCTCAGATGACTTGATGTGGAATGGCTTGGGTGTGCATTTCCTGAAGGCCACTCAAAGAGCAGTAGGGAAGCTCTGGGGCTTGCGCTCTGCATGGTGCTGCACCCACAGCAGGCCCTGGGCTGGAAAAGGTCCGCATGAATCAGCAAAATGGAGAGAAGCTCGCATGTGGGGGGCAAGCCAGCAGGCAGGATGCCCAAGAGCTCGTGTTGACAGGTGAGGGCCTCTTCCGCGCACACTGGTCTGTGGGGGCTTCCCCAGGGCTCCCTGTTTTCAGAGCCACTTGGAAGACAATCCGGAGGAATGCCCACTGTCCTCTGCTCACCTTTCCTCCAACACAGGCTGAGCACCTGCTGGAGATCCCCAGCCCAGTCCAGCCCAGCGGAACACTGAGGGCGTATCCCTCCTGTGGACCCCCAGCAGGACCCCAAGGTCAAGGTGAGAGCGAGGCTCCTGAGGGGCCCACAGTCCAGGTGGGGCTGGGGAAGAGTGCACACATCCTGAGGGGCCGCGCGATGACAAAAGGCCCGGGAGTCCTGGGGTCAGAGGTCATGGTGTTGGTCTGCGGCAGCGGCACATGAGGGTGGGGGGCGCCGCAGCAGCGGGGGCTCCGCAGAGCGGAACCCTCCCCCCCCCCCACCCCGGGATGCGAGGCCCGCTGAGGTCTGGGTGGGCTGGGGTCCGCCCCTCCCGCCTCTCCCCAGGGGCCCTAAGAGGATGGGAGATGGAAACCCCAAGTGCAGCTGGCAAGACAAGAGGTTAAAACCAACAGCCTGCGCAGAAGCGGAGGCGCACGCCAGGCTGCGGAGTGTGCCGGCCAAACGTCTCTAAAAGAGTCTCGATGAAACCGAGCGCAGACGTTCACGGGCGGCTCCCGCTCC